CTATTTTGTACGTTAATTATCAATCGTAGGATTAATTTAATTGGGCTGACTCTGTTTCAATACCGATTTATTCGGGGCGCGAAAAGAATACGTTTTGGATGTCCCTCAACCCGTGTATGCAATTGGAACGGGACATTTCGGACATTTAAGATGGTACAAAACCATTTCAAAATGGGATATCCGTATTTTCATTGCAAAAACCGGTCTTTTGTATCGTAATGATCAATTGTCTGATTAATTTAATTGAGCTGACTCTGTTTCAATACCGATTTATTCGGGGCGCGAACAGAATACACTTTGGATGTCCCTTAACCCGTGTATGCAAATGGAACGGGACATTTCGGACATTTAGGATGGAAAAAAATCCTTTCAAAATGGGATATCCGTATTTTCTTTGCAAAAAACGGTCTTTTGTATCGTAATTATCAATTGTCTGATTAATTTAATTGGGCTGACTCTGTTTCAATACGGATTTATTCGGGGCGCGAATAGAATACACTTTGGATGTCCCTCAACCCGTGTATGCAATTGGAACGGGACATTTCGGACATTTAGGATGATACAAAATCATTTCAAAATGGGATATCCGTATTTTCGTTGTAAAACGGCTATTTTGTACGTTAATTATCAATCGTCGGATTAATTTAATTGGGCTGACTCTGTTTCAATACCGATTTATTCGGGGCGCAAATAGAATACGCTTTGGATGTCCCTCAACCCGTGTATGCAATTGGAACGGGACATTTCGGACATTTAGGATGGTACAAAATCATTTCAAAATGGGATATCCGTATTTTCGTTGTAAAACGGCTATTTTGTACGTTAATTATCAATCGTCGGATTAATTTAATTGGGCTGACTCTGTTTCAATACCGATTTATTCGGGGCGCGAATAGAATACACTTTGGATGTCCCTCAACCCGTGTATGCAATTGGAACGGGACATTTCGGACATTTAAGATGGTACAAAATCATTTCAAAATGGGATGTCCGTATTTTGTTGGGAAAACCGTTGTTTTGCATGGTAATCATCAATCGTCTGATTAATTTAATTGGGCTGACACTATTTCAGTACCGATTTATTCGGGGCGCGAATAGAATACACTTTGGATGTCCCTCAACCCGTGTATGCAATTGGAACGGGACATTTCGGACATTTAGGATGGTACAAAATCATTTCAAAATGGGATATCCGTATTTTCGTTGTAAAACGGCTATTTTGTACGTTAATTATCAATCGTCGGATTAATTTAATTGGGCTGACTCTGTTTCAATACCGATTTATTCGGGGCGCGAATAGAATACGCTTTGGATGTCCCTCAACCCGTGTATGCAATTGGAACGGGACATTTCGGACATTTAGGATGGTACAAAATCATTTCAAAATGGGATATCCGTATTTTCGTTGTAAAACGGCTATTTTGTACGTTAATTATCAATCGTCGGATTAATTTAATTGGGCTGACTTTGTTTCAATACCGATTTATTCCGGGCGCGAATAGAATACGCTTTGGATGTCTCTCAACCCGTGTATGCAATTGGAACGGGACATTTCGGACATTTAGGATGGTACAAAACCATTTCAAAATGGGATATCCGTATTTTCTTTGCAAAAACCGGTCTTTTGTATCGTAATGATCAATTGTCTGATTAATTTAATTGGGCTGACTCTGTTTCAATACGGATTTATTCGGGGCGCGAATAGAATACACTTTGGATGTCCCTCAACCCGTGTATGCAATTGGAACGGGACATTTCGGACATTTAGGATGGTACAAAATCATTTCAAAATGGGATATCCGTATTTTCGTTGTAAAACGGCTATTTTGTACGTTAATTATCAATCGTCGGATTAATTTAATTGGGCTGACTCTGTTTCAATACCGATTTATTCGGGGCGCGAATAGAATACACTTTGGATGTCCCTCAACCCGTGTATGCAATTGGAACGGGACATTTCGGACATTTAGGATGGTACAAAATCATTTCAAAATGGGATGTCCGTATTTTGTTGGGAAAACCGTTGTTTTGCATGGTAATCATCAATCGTCTGATTAATTTAATTGGGCTGACACTATTTCAGTACCGATTTATTCGGGGCGCGAATAGAATACACTTTGGATGTCCCTCAACCCGTGTATGCAATTGGAACGGGACATTTCGGACATTTAGGATGGTACAAAATCATTTCAAAATGGGATATCCGTATTTTCTTTGGAAAACGAATGTTTTGTACGTTAATTATCAATCGTCGGATTAATTTAATTGGGCTGACACTATTTCAATACCGATTTATTCGGGGCGCGAATAGAATACACTTGGGATGGCCCCTAACCCGTGTGTGCAATTGGAACGGGACATTTCGGACATTTAGGATGGTACAAAATCATTTCCAAATGGGATTCCGTATTTTCGTTGTAAAACGGCTATTTTGTACGTTAATTATCAATCGTGGGATTAATTTAATTGGGCTGACTCTGTTTCAATACCGATTTATTCGGGGCGCGAATAGAATACGCTTTGGATGTCCCTCAACCCGTGTATGCAATTGGAACGGGACATTTCGGACATTTAGGATGGTACAAAACCATTTCAAAATGGGATATCCGTATTTTCTTTGCAAAAACCGGTCTTTTGTATCGTAATGATCAATTGTCTGATTAATTTAATTGGGCTGACTCTGTTTCAATACGGATTTATTCGGGGCGCGAATAGAATACACTTTGGATGTCCCTCAACCCGTGTATGCAATTGGAACGGGACATTTCGGACATTTAGGATGGTACACAATCATTTCAAAATGGGATATCCGTATTTTCGTTGTAAAACGGCTATTTTGTACGTTAATTATCAATCGTCGGATTAATTTAATTGGGCTGACTCTGTTTCAATACCGATTTATTCGGGGCGCGAATAGAATACACTTTGGATGTCCCTCAACCCGTGTATGCAATTGGAACAGGACATTTCGGACATTTAGGATGGTACAAAATCATTTCAAAATGGGATATCCGTATTTTCGTTGTAAAACGGCTATTTTGTACGTTAATTATCAATCGTCGGATTAATTTAATTGGGCTGACTCTGTTTCAATACCGATTTATTCGGGGCGCGAACGGAATACGCTTTGCATGTCCCTCAACCCGTGTATGCAATTGGAACGGGACATTTCGGACATTTAGGATGGAAAAAAATCCTTTCAAAATGGGATATCCGTATTTTCTTTGCAAAAAACGGTCTTTTGTATCGTAATTATCAATTGTCTGATTAATTTAATTGGGCTGACTCTGTTTCAATACGGATTTATTCGGGGCGCGAAAAGAATACACTTTGGATGTCCCTCAACCCGTGTATGCAATTGGAACGGGACATTTCGGACGTTTAGGATGGTACAAAATCATTTCAAAATGGGATATCCGTATTTTCGTTGTAAAACGGCTATTTTGTACGTTAATTATCAATCGTAGGATTAATTTAATTGGGCTGACTCTGTTTCAATACCGATTTATTCGGGGCGCGAAAAGAATACGTTTTGGATGTCCCTCAACCCGTGTATGCAATTGGAACGGGACATTTCGGACATTTAGGATGGTACAAAACCATTTCAAAATGGGATATCCGTATTTTCTTTGCAAAAACCGGTCTTTTGTATCGTAATGATCAATTGTCTGATTAATTTAATTGGGCTGACTCTGTTTCAATACGGATTTATTCGGGGCGCGAATAGAATACACTTTGGATGTCCCTCAACCCGTGTATGCAATTGGAACGGGACATTTGGGACATTTAGGATGGTACAAAATCATTTCAAAATGGGATATCCGTATTTTCGTTGTAAAACGGCTATTTTGTCATTAATTATCAATCGTCGGATTAATTTAATTGGGCTGACTCTGTTTCAATACCGATTTATTCGGGGCGCGAATAGAATACACTTTGGATGTCCCTCAACCCGTGTATGCAATTGGAACGGGACATTTCGAGCATTTAGGATGGTACAAAATCATTTCAAAATGGGATGTCCGTATTTTGTTGGGAAAACCGTTGTTTTTCATGGTAATCATCAATCGTCTGATTAATTTAATTGGGCTGACACTATTTCAGTACCGATTTATTCGGGGCGTGAATAGAATACACTGTGGATGTCCCTCAACCCGTGTATGCAATTGGAACGGAACATTTCGGACATTTAGGATGGTACAAAATCATTTCAAAATGGGATATCCGTATTTTCGTTGTAAAACGGCTATTTTGTACGTTAATTATCAATCGTCGGATTAATTTAATTGGGCTGACTCTGTTTCAATACCGATTTATTCGGGGCGCGAATAGAATACACTTGGGATGTCCCTTAACCCGGAAATTTCTGGCATTGAGGAAAGTACAGAATCATTTTACATTTAATAATACCTGCGTACGTACGTGTCATAAAAGTATCGTAGAGGGCGCTAAACAACCATGTAGTTTGGGAAAAGAAAATCGCGGCCGGGCCGTATGAGCATTAATCTTCATGAAAAAAAAAGGAAAGAAAAATGTGAAATGAGGCACCCCCGGTACATTTTGGCAAAAAACAAATAGGAATTCCTGATTAACCAGGATTCTCATGCCTGGGACCCGGTCCTTCCCGCAACGCACCACTACTTAAGGGGCAGTCTGGCGGATATAGCGCCCTCTCATCGGCTATAAGGCAGAACCTTAATTCAGTAACGTTAAAACTTATAACATTAACATTCCCAATTCTGAAAATAAATTGCCACGGTTTTCATTACGATGTACTTTAGAGTCGAATAAACAACAGTTTCAGTTATTTAAGGTAATCAACCTTGATAAGAAGTTGAACTTCCTTTATAATTCGTTTTTCCTAAGATTTATTTGCAATGACTGTTTAGGGCCACCGTAGTGGTAATCTTCACGGCGGCGCGCCGCCGTAAAAATAGTGCCTAGCCGAAAATCCGGCCAGCCGAAAATCCGGCCCGATTTTCGTGCCAAGATCAGCCTGGTGATTTCATTTAGTTCTTACCAAGCAGTAAGTTCAACCATTTATCGCTTTGACTTGTTGGTATTACAGAATTTTTACACAGCAATTGTTGACTGCTGTAATGTGGGATATGCCGTTTTTTGCCCCTAAAATCGTCATTAGAGAATCCTCGATTTTTGTTTTTTGACAGACATGCAGGTCGTCCGTTTTCATGTTAGCTCCACGTACTAGTGGCGGCGGTGTGCTGCGCTGAATCTCTGGCCACACCACTAGGCCTACTCGTACTCTAGAAGTAGAACACGCGGAGGCTGGCGGAGCCTCATACTACAGAACCCCGCAAAATTGTTTGCCCTTGCAGTTACATTTGCAACAAGGCTTACATGTAGGTGGCTAGGATTGACTGACAAACTTTTTTTTTTTACTAGGCCTATCTAAATATCAGGAGGCGTGATAACGAGGAGCTGTACATCTAACATCATGCAGTGGTTGGTCGGGTTGTTACTTGTTCAAGGTATGTACATGTGCTTTATTGAAAACATTCAACTAGGCCTATTCTACACGTGTGTGAGGAGTCAAAATTAAAAACCACAATATAATTCTTATTCATTCTTTAAATGGCAGTTGGCCCCATCCCATAAATGTGGCCTCTTTACTGGACTACCTCCGTAAACATAGGCCACACATCCACATGTACAAAAACGTGTCGCAATTTGCCAAATTTTGATTTTCACATTTAGGCTTAGTTTGTAGGGTTTTTTTGCTTTAGAAGCATACTGATGATACTCACCCTCTTAATAGGCTCAGAAAGTGCTGCCTTTTTCAGATGTCTATTTTTTGTGAAATTTCCAGATTCATTTGCACACGTTAATTTGTGTATCAAAATTTCAACATGAAATTTCACAAAAATTAGCCATCTGAAAAAGGCAGCACTTTCTGATTAGCCTATAAAGAGGGTGAGTATGCTTCTAAAGCAAAAAAAACCCTACAATAGTACAAACTAAGCCTAAATGTGAAAATCAAAATTTGGCAAAGTGCGACACGTTTTTGTACATGTGGATATGTGGCCTATGTTGACGGAGGTAGTCCAGTAAATCGGCCACATTTATGGGGCTAAATGGCAGTGCACACGGGACCGTATTAGTAGATCCCTGATTTTTGCGCTCTTGCATGTGCCGGCACTTCCACTGGGCATGTGTAGTGAATGTTGTTTGGGCTTTTGAAACTTTGTACAGTCATGACAGTTGTATGGTTCCATGCTTACATTGTCCTTGAGAATTCGTTTCAGAGGAATGGAGTCAGACCTAATGCAATATTGTATCAAAAAGAAAAGATAAATCATTCCACAGTTAAATGTAGGATTCAAATTGAAACAACTAAGGAAGTTGACTTGTCCTTTTTGGTAAATGAAAATGAAAATCAAAGGGTCTCTCAACCGAATACAGTGGACCCACAGTCTTACAATGTACATTTTCCCATCGAGCCATGTGTCTGTTAATTAATCATGTCCAGAGGAAGCTTGTCCAGAGGAAGTGCTCAAGAAGCCGAATAAGTGATCGAGGGACAGGTTCACAATAAAACACTCCGTTCTTAAATACTAAATGAGTAACTGCCACTATGAAAATGCACACGGTTGAAAATGCAGTGCGACGGTTAAAAAGCAATCCACTGCATTTCAACCACAATTTAACCGTGCGCATTCCACTTCATTGTTATTCAGTTCTAATCCTCTCCCCGTCCATGCCCTGGCCAAACAAAGGATCACTCATTTTTAACCCCTTCAACGGCCAGAAAAGGAGAGTTTGGGGAGACCTAGACTGGTTACCGGACCATCCACTGAGTATTTCGAATGATCCAAAATTATTGGGGGCGGCGATTAGTCTGGGAGACCTTCGCAGGTTAAATTTGAACGTATTCGCGCGCCAACAACGCCTGAAGCTCACGCCAAGACTATTAGCTATACATGTAGGTGTTTTCCCTGCTTTATGTGCTTATTTCTGGTCTTAAATTGTGTTCAAAGTAGCATTAAAAGGGTCTTAAAAAGTCTTAAATTCGACTTTCTGAAATGTGCAGATACCCTGAAACTACTAACATTACAACCAAATCCTTTTTTGTTATGCAAACTACCGGTATATCTCTACAATTGTGCAATTACTAACTAGTAGAATCACATTCTTTAAGTTTAACATGTTTTAGTTTAAATGAGAGCTATTATTGATGTTGCAGACTTTGTAACATATAGTGTGGACAGACCCGCATGCCTTTTCTGAAAAAATACTGCGGCTAAGTTGCCCAGTAAAGGAATTAAATTTAAATAATTAACCACTTGAAATTGTTTTTAAAAACTGTAGTGAACATAAAAAAAATTAAAAAATAAGAGATAATTTAATTCTCAGGCTAACCATTCCAACTCTCCACAAAAGCAGGCAACTGACATACATGTACACAGTATGTAATTATGTAGGCTGCATGGTGGGCCCCCCCCCCCCCCCCCCGACCCTTTAGGTAAACCACTGAACCTATTATTATTAAAAGTTGTCCGTGAACATGTAACCAATATTCTCAAGTTTTCAAATACTGTGTATTTTAACTTTTAAGGATTGAGGTGATGGGTTTGAAGTCTATTTCTGTAGTAGTCTTGTGTTCGTGAATTATGTTTTTTTTTGGTTGTTTTCTTTTTCATTAATTAGCAGGCACCTATCTTAATCTCAATAGTTTCTTGGGTATAATTATTTATGCCAGGTCCGCATTTTGTTGATTTCACATTCAGTTACACATTTCAGCAATTTGTTTCACTTGTATAATTAGTATAAATTCACATTTTGTTAATGCTATAATTGAGTAAACCTTTTGTCCTTCCATTACCGTCCTTCCATTACCAAATTACAATCCAGTTAAGACGTTGTAATTATATTACCGAAACACTAAAATTCAAATGAAAGGTGGTATAGTTAAAGCTTCAGGGATTCCATTTCTTACCTTTAAAATAAAATTGCCCCATAAAATTCACAGAGTTTACACAAAACACATGTAAGTTGGAAAAGCCTTGTCCGTTTTACCGTCCTTCCATTACCGACCTCATTAATATTCATAATTCATGAACGAGAGGTATTCATGCCCCCAAAAAGTGTGGAAATTGAAGGTAGCATTACAGCATTACAATTGTGACATTTGTTTGATGTAACTAATAACGGTGTCTGTGACACACACATTTGAAATTTTGTTTAATGAGTGAAAAGGTCCTTCCGTTACTGTGGAATTGGCCTAATACTAAATTATTCATTAAAATTTAGTTTATAGAATTACTTGTTTACAAGTATCAAATCCTCATAAGTGAACTACTTGAAAATAATGTGAATGCAAAAAAAACCCAAAAAACAAAACAGGTAGGGCCTAAGTTTTTTTGTGCCTGTGCAGAATATATTGGGATTCTACATGTCCTCGACCATTTCCTGGGTAGACGTTATCATTACAATGAACATGTCACGTCAGTGTGTGGTGAAGGTTGAATTAAAAGCCAAATGCAGTAATTGCTTAGTATTTTATAATAAGGCATCAACAATACTGCATTGTCATGTTTGCCTGAGGGTTCAGTACAGTTTGGTCAATGAGGCATGACTTGGGAACACAATTGCTTACCCATCAATTGTGCTCCAACGACATGTAAATGTATACGTGTACACACACAATTTTTAAGACAGAATGTTTCCTAATTTGATGAGATACAACAGTGAATCCCTATTGGCAAATTATTTTTAATTGCCAAAGTAAATCTCAAAATCAATTCCTCACTTGTTAAACATCCCAACCCGCCAAAAAATAAAACACAAATTGTTTTTTGCCCCTGCACTGTAGGGTTTACCACACTAATGCGGTAAAATTGACTGCAAATATGGAATTTGAGAGTGGACAGTGCAGGATACAGCAGCAAACCAAGCATATTTCGTTCAGTTTTTTTCCCTGTACAATGTACATTCCTGGGGCTTTCAGATCAAATAGAGGACTTTCTGTGTACATGTACTTGAAAAATTGCAGGGGTCGCTCATCTTAAATTATTACATGCAAATGTACACATACCGATACATGTGCACATGTACTTGAAAGTACCAGAATATGGACATAATTTTTGCTATAAATTGACAGGACATTACTTATCTTGTGCATGAATTTACCCAACTGTCATCTCATTTATATTTATATCCCATATAGGGTGATGTAAATCAATCTTTATAGTTTGCCCTTCACCATTTACATGTAGAATTGCCCATTTAGAATCGCTACCAGCCAAAATAAAAACATTTTTCTTGGTCTTTCAGACACTTACAGATGTAACATTTTTAACTTGGACAATACATTTTTTGACAAATTTCTGTCCATGTTATTTACAGTTTGTAATATTCGGACCATAATCTTGTCTTAAATTTTACATGTGCATGTACATGTAACAAACCTGTAGAGATAACAATGAAACTTAGGAACAAATATTTGGGTAATTACATTTTTTATGCCCCCGCCAGCGAAGGGGCATACTGTGTCTGCCTTGCCAGTCCGTGTGCGTGTGCGCGTTTGTTTATGGTGTTAAATCGAGGACACACACATGCAACATCATAGGTGAATCGAAGACAGGAACCAAATCAAGGACGACCTTGATTAGAAAACATGTACAAAACCAATGAGAGCTGTTTACGAAAAAGTTTTGAGTACAAAGCAAATGTTGTTTATTTTAAAACTATAGCAAACATCCTAAAATATGTTGAACATTTGTGTTTGTTACAGTACAGGAGCAGAAAGAGGGAAAAAAAACACAGATGAGTTCTTTTTCAGTTTCAGATTTGAAGCACCAAAACTTGAATGTGTGGTGGTATGCTTGTTCCGATGAATTTGCAAATTCAAGTTCTTTGTTTGAAATCTGTGGGTGTATTCATCATGCCAAACTGCTGAATCATCAAGACAAGCATTGTCTGTTGCACTGTTAGCAAAGTGTGAGCAGTGATCTATGAACTTGAAAAGATGAAAGTGAAATTTAAAAAAAAGTCAGTTTCCTTGTGACTGTAGTGTGTCATGATGGTTAAGCCTGCTGCACAACAAAGTGTAAACTTATCTGCGATACTGTTAAACATCATGTGCTTTCTTGAACAAAACAAGAACAGTTTATTACAATATTAAAGCCTGATATTACTGGCCCGACGTATGCAGAGTAATGGACACAAAATTGGTTTTGCCGTAATCTACTGTACCTTTAGTTTGAGACTGAGCAAAGTGTAAAGGAGGTGTATATTGTACAAAAAACATGTACATGTACCTGTATTGTTTCTAAGTAGTCAACTGGAAATCAAGCCTGCGGGAACGGGGGAGGGGGGGGGGGCTGGAATATGCTTCAGCACCCCCTACTCCCAGGCAAAAATGTGTTCCAGCCAGCAGTGTTCGACGACGATGAAATTGTGCCGCTACGCTATACATAAAGCTTGGTCTACAAATATCGCCTACGTTTTGTTTGTTTCTAGTTCAGGCAGTGCAGAATGATAGTGCTATGATATTTACGCCAGATGGAAGCTTTGACCCGAAAGCAATAACCTCGGCCATGACAATGGTGGCAAAGTTCATTATGCTTGCTAGGATTTTTTTCATTCGATCTTTCAATAGGGGCAAATGTTCATACCTTTCCCCTGAAAGTTTTTCTTTTCATTTAAAAGTTTCATTGACGTTGCTAGCATTAACAAATAGCAAGGCTCACACACATCCCCAACCTAATAGGAGTGGGACGGGCTTTTATTGAAACTAGTCATACTTTAGGCCAATTCCAGTGTACTTTCGTTTTAATAAAAAAGCTATTCCGCATGTTTCACCCTCTGCAAGTTTTTCCTCATAAAAACTCAGTAGACCGATAAATCCTTGCCTAGCCCAAACTTGCATTTGGTATTTTAGTCTTTTATATTATTTTGCCATTCCCTGTAACAAACAAATAACACTGCAAATATATCGAGAGCTACATCGTTTCGTGAGTTAAAACTATGTGAATATTTTTATGAACAGAAATTCATCCGCTTCCAGTGACTTGAACCAAATATCCTTTCGGGTTTTATAAGTTTCAGAATACTTCAGTATATTTAATCACAGTGCATCCAGAATCCAACATTTTCCGGGGCCTTAAAGCGGGCCCCTGGCCCTGTGGCCCCACGCCGTAAGGGCTCAAAAAATGAAACAAAACATACACGAAGGTATTTACTAAGCAGTCTTGCAACAATAATATTTACATGCGATGTCATGCACAATGATACAATTCTTTTTCCAGAATTAGATGGAACCAAATATGGAGATAAAAATACAGGGTTCTCCACTTTTCAGTACAGTTAAACGTTTTACGAGCAAAAGTATATTCTTAACAAAATAATGAAATAAAATAATCTCAAAAAACTTTTGCTAAAAAAGTCAAATGAAAGTGGCCAGGAAGCGCCTCAGATTGCACCACAGAGCATCCATATTCCAAATTAAGCCACGCCGTTAAAGGGCTTTGCGCTCCGCTTTTGCATTAATTTTGTCCGGATGGTCCTTTAGCAATTCCAGCACCCCCTGGCAAAAGTTTGTTCCAGCGGCAGTGCTGGAAATGCAGAGTTTGCAAAACTTAAACATTCGGAGTTGTTACTAAATTTATCAGTGTCTGACAAAAAAATATTCTTCAAGTGAATCAGTTCTCATTAAGATTTTCCTCTTCTCACAGGCAACTACAGCAAACTTTGTTTGTATTAGTTCTTGAAAAGTTATCAAATGTAATGCAGCATTGAATGGCCTAACAGTTTTCAATGATGCATGTCACAGATCTGGTTTCCTGGCAATACTAATGACTACTGTACATGACTACTGGCTATAGTGAATTATTTTCTAAAATTATTCTTAATTGCAAATGTAGAGTTTGCCAAACTGAACTATTTGAACATGCAACTTATGTAAATTTGTCAGTTTCTATCGGTAAGAGCAAAAAGCAACTTCTAAATGCACCAGTTCTATTTAATATCTTCTTTTGTATGGTTTGTACCGGTGGAAAGTACTGCAATACTTACAGACCTATTGTAAAGTTATGTTTATAGCTCCATGGTTTAAGTTATTATTTTTAAGTGGCATTTCAGTTAAAATACATGTATGCACCCTTGTTAAACATCCTGGACAAATCTTTCTCCTTTGAATGCAGTTATCAACATAAATTTCTGCAAAACTACTAAAGATGTGTACTTACTTTTTGGACTGGAAAGCTACTTTATGGACGGTTAAAAAAAACCCCTGTATGTGATAAAGTGTCCTTGTATCATTTAAAGGGAAGATAAAACATTTGCAAACATCAAAAAGTGAAATGATCACATATCACGAATTACCTTACTGGATTGTTAGGGAATGACTGTCAGAAGCATTCTATAAAGTTGTAGCTCCTGATGTGCTGACATTTTTAAGAAAAAATGTATTTCTCCAATGCTGGTCGGCCGACCAGCGTTGGAGAAAACTGGCTTTTTTCAAAAACTGCTTCTAATTTTTCAAATTTAGTTATTCCGCATTTTCTTTGCAATTGATCACACACCTGTGAAGGAGTACAAAAATGTACAAGCCTGCTAGACAGTTCCCCCAAAGTCTATAAATTGCTCTGTTTCATCATAAGGGAACCAGACTACAAGAATATGATTGGTTTTCTTGGTTTCTCAGCATCTACATGTACCAGCCCAAAACGTGAAACAAATCAGTTCAACAATATTTGCTATAACATACTAATCCTGCAAATCCATTTTTTTCTGAAAATTGCAGCAAAAGCAAATTGTACATTCCCTTTAAGAAAATGGAAAAGGTTCATGATTACATTGGCACGAGTATAAAAAAAGGTTTTTTTTTTAAGGTTTGGGGGATCACTTTTGAAGATTTCTATAAATGTTAATTTCATTTATAGACAAGAAGCAATGCTTCATGCCCTTTGGAGTGACTAAATAGAAATTTGAAATTGTTTAACCATCAGATGAAATATCTCAATTAAACAGCCACATTTTATGAACTAAGGATAAGTGCACCTGTACAAAATAAAAGAAATGTTGTACGGTAGCTCTGAGTTATACTGGTACTTAGTCATACGTTTATTTATCTATCTCAGGGTGCATCAATTGTCCCTCAAACGATGTTCATTTTTGGACCCCCGCGAGACTTTTTGTGCAAACTTTCCTGTAAAACTGCCTTAAAGTCAGTGTCATGATAATGTTGAATGAAGTGTCTTGCTGACAGCTGATCAAGAATATTTATTTGTACCCATCTACCGTAGCAGCCGAAGGCTAAGATCAAAAGTCATATACACACATGCTTAGTCTTCAACTTTTTTGCTGCAACTCCAAAGTACTTTTGACAATTTGAAAATCATTTTTCAATTTGAACTCGGAAAGGGAAATTCCTATTAGAATCTGTATTCTGTTGTTACATGTACTCATGTAAAGAATGGATCTGGCACATAGAGCTATATTAAATTACTGGAGCCTTAGTACCCTTAGAACTATGGGGCTCTAGTTGAGCCCCATTGAGTTCTAGGGGTAGAGCGTTTGCACCTCATTCCCCCATGTGCAGATACTTTGAAGCCATCCTGGGCACAGACATTTTGAATTCATGTTCGTGTTTGTGGAATACAATAAAATCACACGGAATGGATTTTGGATAATGCACCCTGAATGCGACGTGCAAGTGTAACAAATGCGAACAACGTACATGTCATTTTGTTTTCTGTGAGTCTGACAGGTAAAAAACATCATGGCAAAAATCTGCAGCGCCTACACACATTTGCGCCTGCGTAACTCTTCACAGAGCAAAATGAAACACTCATTTACTAATTGTGCATTTCGGTTTTGGGTGGATCAGCTTTGATGCACTGGTATGGAATACAAACACAGATATGCAAATAGCCGTACTAAAGGCGCACTAATTTTGGAGTTTTCCCATAGGTTTGTGCACAAAACGTGGATGCACCCAGCAGGTTTCATTTGTATGTACAGGAAGTTAACAATCTAGTAATTTATCCGAGATCCCTTGTTCTGGTTTTTGCCTCCCCCTTGCAGTAAGTATTACTGTGGCTGAACCGTATTACGGCAAGGAGATTGGTGTCTTACGAACTGTGTTTCATGGCGTCAGTGGAACTGTCAGAGCTGCCGATTCACAAACACTTGTCATCGAAAATTTCAACTATGATGGTACTGCCCCAGGTAAGAAAAGAAATTAGTTCTGAGAATATTGAAATTAGACTCTTAATTAGATCACTGAAGGTCTTTAATGACTAAACACGTCACTGCTTGGAAAAAACAGACACAAAATCATCCTCTTTTAGTTAACTGATGCAAACTGGACAAACAGAATATAAACTAACCAACCAACTCACATGGGGGAGAGTGTAACTGGAAAGCCCTTTAAGTGTTGGAGTATTGAACAAGAATTGTTGTGCCAGACCAGAGTTATTGCATGCAATTCAATACATACATACATACTGTACATGTATATTCTTTCTGTGTCAGATGCATTTGTTTGGATTGGGACAACATCACAACCTGATTCAACAGGCACCATAGCTCCTGTGGTTCCAGGAAGGTGAGTGTTTTCGTTGTAAAAAAAATTCCCACAAAAAAGCATGTCTTGGTTTGAGTATTTCGAGGCTTCTAAATGTTTTTTTTTAAGCAAGATGTTTCATTCTGACTTTCACTTTTGAGACTTCCCTTTTGTGTAATTCCTGATTTTCGAACTGGAAAAATGCCAATAAACAAAAGCTGGGAAAAATGAAAGCCATATAAAGATATTTTATTCAAGGAGTTGAACATAATGTACATCTTTTTACACATCCATAATAAGTTTTTACTTTATGGGAATATTAAAAAGTGCTGTTCCTCTGCCACTGTGTATTTGAATGGCCTTGTTAGCTTTTGCGAAGTCCTTTGGTCAGAGTTGGAATTCAAAGTGGAAGTTTTATTGCCAGGAAGTTTCACAAGGAAGTTAGCATATAATTCCGATGAGTAAGAAACCTATCCTGATGACAAAAAAATCTGTCATCTGAAGTCAACAAAATGTTAAGCTGAGTTGGACCGAGTGTACTGTAACTGCAGCCATTATTTTTTTTACACACTACAACATATCTGGTTTTGCTGTGAACTAAAATGAGGTCTTACATTCCATTTTATTTATTTGCAAAGACACGTATAACGACTAAATCCAAAAAAAGTCTTGAACTTTACTTACGACAGCCATAAGAAAAGTTCAGTACTTTTTTTTAAGATTTTGACAAATCATGCATGCACGAACAAAAAGTCATGCATATTTTTCAGTTGTGTTTTGGACAAGTCCAAGAATTTGCGCATGCTATGTCCCATACGTAACAATAGTTTAACCTTCTAAGATATTTATGGATTTCATTTTTTTCTATTCTGCGGTTGGGAATCTGCAAAAAGAATACCCGTTATGAATTTTATGTTTTTAGTCTTTGCGATGATTATGTAATTAATAATTGAATGAAGAAAACATGGTGTTATGTTAGGGACAAAAAGATGACCTTTTCTTGGACTAACCCTTTAATCAAAGGAATAAAATACTTCCTTCTTTCATTCATTTTGAAATTGTCCTATCTTTTCTTCCTTTCATCTGTGAAGTGAAACCAAGCTTGGGGAGTACCGTGGCACCAATCTGGTCGCATATTTACCAGGCTCCATGACGGTACAGGATTATAAATGGATATCCATCTGGTGTAGAAATTTTAGTGTAAGTCTAAAAAAAAAAATAAAAACATGTTGCCTCCTCCCACAAAATGAGGGTAAATTCTGTCATTATCGTGATACAGAAGTTTGGATGGATCAAAATGGGATCCTTTTATGGCTTTCAACACTGATTGTATGTGTTGTTGATAGGTGTTTAATATCTGAAAAATATGCTAACTGTATAAAGATTTTTACAGAATGGCATTGTTCAGAGAAAGTTCTCTCATGTTATTGGAGGAAGTTACTTATCTTTTAACATGGGCAATACATGTGGGTTCCAAACCCTTGCAGTCCCATAATCATTGAGGAAAAAATCATATTAGCACCTAACCTTATTAAAGTTACTGTTCCATTAGCACTGTTTCTCCAGTGGTTGCAACATTTTGCAAAATAAATAGCTCAAAACGCGGTACCATGCAGACTATAAATTATGCATCTCTAAGGGGACATCAAAGACATTCATTGTTTCTCAACATCAGATATTTTGCACATTTTGCACATTGCGATAGTTTAAAACATCAAATTGATTTCTATTTTTAGTCAAAAATAGATGGTACGTGTTACTTTTGCATTTCTTTTTGACTGAAAACTGATATAGAAATTGTTTAAAAAAATATAACTGTCCAATTTTTTTTCTCTCCAGTTAAAGCCACGATGTTGGTTCATACTTTGATCAGGTTCTTTGGAGAAATGGCAAAAAAAATAATTAACATTTGAGATAGACCTCTTACGTACCTAGGCCCCTTTACCTTGTCGTGTATCATCAGGACTCAAACTGTTATCATCACAATCATAGGCATACATCAAATTTGCCAATTTTTTTTTTTTTTTTTAACAGGCCAACTTTGGTGATGTCTACATCCCAGACAGCTTTCGCAACCCAGCCCCTCATGACTTGGGAGCATTGCCAACTCGTGCTCATCGGGTCAAGGCAGACAACGTGCAAATCAAAGATGCAAGGACCCTCATAGTTACAAATTTGTTTTATGATGGTAATGGACCAGGTATGTTTTTGGTTACATCGATTGTTGACTGTAAAATCTCTATTTTTACCCCCCCCCCCCCCCCCAGCTGAATGCTCTTTAACAGCAATAATGCCAAATGGAATCTGCACAAGAACAGTACCACATTTGATGTACATCACTCCGTCTACAAACATAAATGATCTGTAGTTGAACTATGTTAATTAAGCCAACTATTACATTACAAATTTGTTAAAACTATTTAGACTAGTACTGATACCAGGGACTAAGGTGTCTCTCCCCCAGCATCCATCCATTCATCTGTCATACTTCAGCTTTGTTTATCATTCATATTAGAATAGCAGTGCTGCCACAATTTCTCAAACCAACATTCTGGCCATTGGAATTAGTTTGCAGTATTACTATTTCTGTGTCTTTGTTATCTATAGATGCCTATTTCTGGGCAGACACAAGCAACCGTCTGACTTCACAGGGGACTAAACTCATCTTTAGGCCTGGGTATGTGGCTTATGCATTTTCAGTCCGTTGTGTGTCTGTTTCTTAGTGTGGCCTTACAGTAGAATGTCGCTATAATGAACAGAATGAGGCCTACAAAAGACTGCGCTATATATAGTGGTTCTTCTTTATGACACTCCGACTTTCCAAAATGGCAACTGTATGGGCTGTCATGTATTTTCCCTTCTGTTCAATGGAAACATAATGTCAGCATGTCCCTCATCAACGTTTGTACTGTAATGAGCTTTCCTTAACTTTCATTACTGCCTCAGATGAAGGAAAATTCAAATTACAATGTATGTGCATGTACATTTATAGCCATGTATAATATAAGTTATCCCGCGAGCGCGAGTGGAGCACGGAATAATGTAGTGTGTCTGTGTCGTATATGGACACAGACGCACTACATTTTCCGTGTTCCACGAGCGCGAGCGTGATAACGAATTTATCTTCAAGCAAACTTGATGCACAAGATGAAATGCACGCTGTACACAAACTTCAGCGCTTATCCTATACACGCGCGTGTTTGTATGGAATGGCGCCCGCATCTTGGAATAGCGCAACTGACGCGGAGTGCGGTATGGACTGTGGCCGTGCTACATGGTTACATGTATATGTAGCACGGCTTTTCGCCATGGATCGACCAATCAGGGTCGAGGATTCAAGTTTACTTGAAGATAAAGCTAATTTACCAAGACTGTCTCAATCAAGATGGTGGAGTTGTAGTCTGTTGTAGTCGGTCTGTTGCAAGTACCGGACATGAATGCATGTGCGCAAGTCGGTTGAAATTTGCATGTGCCAATCAGAAATTAAATCTGGATTTGTGTGCCTGTCGAAAAGTGAAAGTGAGGTTGATGAAATATCAAGAATATCATGTACACCATGTCATGTACATGTATATATGTATATATATATATTTAAATTATTTTTAAAATTTATTTTGACAACATCAGACAGCGCAAGTGCCAGAACAGGATGAATATGACTTGGAGAAGATTCGGAACGATTAATTACAGTTTTAGTGTTGAGAGGAAAACCCAAGAATGATATTCTAGGGGGAACCCACGGAATCAGGCAGGGACTGAAAACCCAGTCCACACGTTGGCCCAGGCGGGATTCGAACCTGGGTCATAGTGCTGGAAGGTGAGGAGAGTACCGCTATGCCAACCTGACTCCCTTGATATATTTGTTTGGAGGTAGCTTGCTACATGTGCAATACAGATGTTATTTCAAAAGATGCAAATGAAAGCTAGTACCGGTATTTCTCACGGAAGCTCTGAAATCATGCATGTCAATTGAATGTTGACAAAAAAGGTGGCATTTGACATACATGTAAACTCACCCACTTTATATTTCTTTACTTTTTTAAGACCGCTCACGGATTTTCGAGTATTTTGAATCAGAAAAATGCTTGGAAATTTGGTCGACGATCAAATATTTGAATATTCAACTATTCGGTATATTCAACGCAGCCCTATTCTAATCTTTTGAATAATTTGGGTCGGCGTGACTGTGAAACGGTGTATTAAAGTTGTGCATGACCTGTGCACAATGTTGTCCTTCCTTGAGTCAATTGTGAGTAGGGCACACTGCACTAACCATGGTTATTGCACACAGTCCATAATATAATAGTTATGATCATGTTAATGATTGAGTAACTCTTTTTTGTGTTGCAATCTGATATATCATTTCAAAAACTGGTGCTCATTCAAATGCTCAAATGCTGTACTGCATTGATTTAATTCCGTCTAATTAAAGGCAATTAATTATGTGCTTGAATGGTTACGAATAACTGTCCAACACTTCATTTTACACCAGGCTATCAAATGCCGGATCAAATCAGAGGCTGAGAGTTGCTTTGGATGGGGAAGACTTTACAGTCGCCATGCCACCAAGGATGACCATCTATGACTTCAAGAGCTTTGGTCTGTGGTGTGTTGCAGCAACACAGAATTTTGGCAGTATTGCATTTGACCCAGCAACAATCAATGTTCCAGCAGTGCTTGACCCTCCACCGGTATGTCTTAGGCTGGTATTGGCAGCCACTGTGTTCACATGGTCAAAAACATGTTCTCTTTTAAAAAAAATGGAATTGTCAGTGCACCTCCAGTGAAATAACAACATGAAGGACACTTGATTATATGCAAAATAACGGAAAATCAAGTGTTTGTCTAGGATGTGAAATAGATTCTTAGAGTGAAAGTGGACTGACACTCTAAGAATCTATTTCACTCTAAGAATCTACAGTGGTAATTTCAGTGCTGATTTGCTGCATACAATGGAGAATGCTGTATGAATATAATGATGTTGTAATCAAACGTCACTAACTTAAAGCTTGATACTAATATTTGATCCCCATTCATGGTCTTACATTCTTTTACAGACTTACCCAAATTGTGAGGTTCTCTTAGAGGATGAGTTCCAAGTCCAGTGGCGAATCAATGCTGAGGATAGCAGCATTACTGTTGAGATGGCAGGCCGTGTTACGCCTGGTAACTACCTGGCATTTGGCTTGAGTGGCTCAGAGAATGAAACCTTGATGGATGGTTCAGATGTTGTAGTAGGTTGGTTGGATGAAAACACCATGAGCCCTATGGTGGTGGATTACAACTTGCAGTCCAAGGCACAAGTGAGTTTGTCTAGATCTTAGTTTTTTTTCTAACATGTTCTTCATATTATTGTAAAAGTTTCTTAAGTTTTTTTTATTATTCAGAATAACCAATGTTTGAAATTTGTTGATGTTTTGAAATTGTTTTGACCCACCCACCCACCCCGAATTTCGATTTTTTAAATGTTGAATGACTATTCAATAGGCCTATCCTATACACTGAAGAACAAAATAATGCCTCAAATGAAGCAGATATTTTAGGTCAATGCTGTCCCAGCTCAGGAGTTTTCAATGGTTTTTCCAGGCTTCCAGCTTGCAACTTTGTAGTTGAAACAGAAGAGAAAATTGCCAAGCACAAAAAATTTCGTACAATGTTTTTAAGTTTTCTATGACGCTTTATTTCAAGGTACAGTCCATCATTTGTATATTGTGCATTTTGTTCGTTTGAAGCAACAAATGTGCTCAAAATCTAAAGAAGGGTGCTAAACAACTAACCAGCTTCAGCTGTATATTTCGAGAAAAACAACATTCTAGGATCTCGATTTCAAATCAAAAGTTGCTGAATCATGTTTTGAATTGGGCCTGAATTCAGCGTCCGAGACACGTTCTCACTGAGGGATTACAGCTACACGATGTCGCGCACCGATCCGACGAATTAAAGCAACCATGCGTGTACATCACATGTAAACGTGTGCATAAAACAAATGAATTACTAACGAAAATTTAAACGGTGCGCGTCTTTAGACCCACCATTGGAAAGGCCTTCTTTCGTTGATCTCTTCAAAATGACAGCATGTCAGAAAGAATAATTTCACAGGGAGTTTAGTCCCCTTACTATCTTTCAACCATGTTGTTTTTCAACAATAATTACGTCAGTTACTTTTTTGAAAGCTGCAAATGATGAACTGTAGCTTTAAAACATAAAATAACATAAATAAAATAAACAAAAAAATACATGATGTTAAAACGAAACTATCGTTTGGTGATTTCAGATTAATTATTATTTGTTTTTGCTGTGTCCAAAAACATGCTCTCGCAGGATCTCGCACATGACATGCATGATGGCTGCCATGTTTATCGCAATGAATATGTCAGCACTGCACTAATAGTCTTCAATTCAAGCCTGGTTTCCCCACTGGGAGATTTTTAGTTATTTCCTGTGACCACAATTTTTAAACTTTGATTATTCTGATTGGCATGTTAGATCAACAGACTTTCATTTTGAGACCCTTGCCATCACCAATCTGTTAGTGACGTTTGTCTGCATGTAGCTCCACAGGTTGTTTTGTTGTTGAAATTTTGTTTACAATGCTCTATCAAATAAAAGTATATTGTTCACTTCCGTTGCTAGTGCTCTATTAATGACGGTCGAGGAGCGTGCCCAGATGATATTCAAAGTGTTGGAGGAGCAAATAATGTCATGTTGGGAGATGTGCTGTTTGATGGGGGAATCAAAAGACTTTCCTATAAACGACCTCTGGACACAGTAAGTGTAAGCTTGCTGCGACTGAATGGTTAGCAGAAATGTCCATATCTAAAATTCTAATATGTAACAGAATGAAAAACGGAGCTTTACAGGGGTAACAATTTTCCTAATTTTTGGTGGGACAACTTCGGGATTTCAGATTTTGAGGGTTTTCTGTAACGATAAATTTGGCACTCAATGAAATTTCTGGAGAAATGTAGGCCCTATTGAATATAATGGATGGACTGGTGATCAGTCTAGTATGTACTGCGGTCAAGTACCTGATAGAAATCAATGCAGTGTGTGCAGTGGAGTATTTGAGGACCAGACTAAAAATACATTTCAGTGGTGGTGGTGTGTGCACTTTGTGTCTGCATATGGCGTGTGCATGTATTGTGCACATGTGCGGTGACGATTATTGGTGTCAATTTTGCCGCGAAGAGACCTATCAGTGCAAAATTTTGATCAAGGAATTAAGAGTGTGGTTGGAATAATTTGTCCAGAATACAGTGCCACTATGGATGGACATCAGTTTGAGCTGCACTATTGCTTTGAAAAAATAGCCACCACAAAAATAATGTTGGAAGTCAGGGACTTTATTAGTAAGATATTTTAATAAGTGACACTGGTAATATGTTTTGTGATTTGTTTTTCTCTGCAAAATGCGACAGCAATGAAATCACACACCAAAAACAAAAGACAGTTTTGATAAGTATGGATTATATTGCATGATTCATATGTTTTTCTTCATTTGCCCCCATTTTTTCCCCCGTAACTGCAGTAACAAATTGCAGAAATTGCAAACAAAATTTGGGGCCCTTATAGGCCACTGACCTCAAGCCGTATAAAAAAGGCTCTTCTGCAATAACTTTTATTGTATTTTTTTTTTGCTAGGAAAATGAAACCGGGCCTATCCGTGGCTTTGTTCCCTCAGCTCCAGTTAGCTAGCTGTGCCTTTTACTTAAGCAAATGTGACCTGTTCTGTCAAAAGCAGATGCTTCTGGGCAGAGGTTGAAATTGAGATAGGGCCAAAAAAACTGTGGGGGTGATTTTTATCGATTTTCAAATTTTTGCATATTTGTAATCCTGAACATGTCTAAAATATATTATAAAAGTTTGAAATCCTAATTTGAACTCTACATACACTATTTTTGAAGATTTTGATAAGGTATATCAGTTAAAGAAATAACTGTTTTCGTGGCAATTTTTTCCGTTTTCTACTTTTCGACACAATGAACTTCAAAATAGCATAACTCTGCCCAGGAATGACAGGTTTCAAAAAATAAACCACCTATTAAAAGGAAAAAGAACATATGTTAACAATATGTAAAAATATCATTTTCGACCTTATGCCCAGAAAAGTCTGATTTTGATGGAACAGGTCACAAATAACCTTAGGTACGCATTGGTTGCCGTGGCCTCCAAACTCCCATCCGAATACTTGTGGATTTTTCATTTTCCTCAAATCTCACCCTTGGCTTTATTATGATAGACGGTACTGCTGGATCCAAGTGATATTTAGTCTCTGGAATGATAGAGAAATAATACAACTAAAAGTTAGGATGCTGGAATCAATTGCAGCTCTAATGGAAATTATTTGCAGCCATGATACCTAATGACTTTACACTCCCTTTTCTGAGGGAGCAAAAGTTTGCTTACTTTATGTTGTTTTGTTGCAGGTGATTCAACCGACCAAGTTATTCCTACAGACCGTCCAGTCTTCATCTCATGGGCAATTGGCCCCATTAATCCTGATGGAAGAGTTGCCAAACACGTCAGAGCTCCGTCAGGTATATTCAAGCGATGATGAGTATATAAAAAATCAGGGGAAAAAATCACCCATAGATTTATTTGTTAAAATGTGTGATCTGTCAAAATACATCGATATAGTCCGGTCAATTTAGAACAAAACAGGGCCTGACCTAGAACAAATTGCAATAGAATTTATATTAATGCTATCACGCTAAGGAAATATCACTATTTAACATACTGAAAATCTAATTCCATCAAAGGAGTGGAAAAGTGTATTTATTCACTTTTTCGCTACTAATTTGTCATCATACGTAAACAGTCATACGGAGGGCGTCATGTTTTCTTTTGCGTCCATTACCCTTCAGAAAATCCGTTTACATCACGTATGAGACTTCGCGAGACACGACTGATCACAGCAGACGACTTTCCTATGTCCACCAATTATTAAAATATATTGTAATTTACACTGCTGCATAATACTATATGATATTTTCTTGAAAAACAATCAAGAAATTTGAGATTTTTTTGCTTCCCGAAATATTTATTGGTCAAAATAAATCACTTTGTGCCCAAAAAAGATTTGTTTCATAGAAAATCTTTGCATAAACAGGTCTACTTGAATAAAGGGCGGAAAATGATATACACAAAGAGATCCATTTAAAAAGAGTGCAATTTTAAATATTAGGGAAAATATCCGAAATCCGAGATTCGTGTGTTCCTTTGTGTTGAATTTAGGTCATTGGCATAACTTATAAATGAGATGTAAATCGTCAAAAAAATGAATGTTTACTCAAATAACCTTACTAAAGCCTGGCAAATTAAAGGGATTAAAATTTTGCAGTGAAATAATTATTAGCTGAATTCTGCGCTTTAGAGAAAAGAAATATAGTGTGACAAGTGTATTACGTCTACAAATAATACAAGTTCCCTAGATCAAAGCCTTAGGCGGAGGGGGGGGGGGGGCGTGCCAATGAGATCATTTTTTCCAAGTAATAACAACACAAGGTCTGTTCCATCCAAGTAATCCTTTTGTCGGGACTCAAGTATACTTTTCTGGAGTAGTTCATTTCACTCTTGACTATACAAGCAGATGTTTCAATCAATTTCCGTACCTCAATCAGGATCTTCTCAATTTAGCTGTTTGACTGTACCATACTTACGAAAAACATGGAAAGCTCATGTCCAGAACTACATCTGTTTCTCATCAACCTCGCCCATTAATCTTTTTTTCTTTGTGATCCAAGTGTTTTGAGATGCCCTAAATGTGAATGTATCATTTCCGTAATATATTGTCCTTCCTTCCAGGTGACATCCAGATCAACTTTGGCCGAGGCTCTTCAAGCTGCCCAGCTTTGACTGATTCTACCGGTGGGGGTAGCCAGCTGCCCGCATGGCCCGCCCCAACAATCAAAGATGTCACTGAGTTCAGAGTGGAGATTGGACAGTCTGGAGGGGTACGTGGTTACACAGGCATCACAGGTAAAATGGTCAGCTCTAATGCTTGAAAAATGCGTGTGGAATTATATCATGTATTTCAGTAAACAGACTGAATTAGTACAGTGAGTTTACTTTCATAAATAACTGAGACAGGATAACCCATTCTTGTATGTCGAGAGCCAATTCACATGGGTGGTTTTAATCTGCTGGTAAAAAAAGCATCCGGCTTGATAGCCATGCACTCATTGATCTCTACTAGGTATCAATGTAGCATATTATCTCCATACAAGGAGAGGTGTCCACATGCGTGAACGCTGTGGGCAGCATGGAAAGTTCCCTGGCACGGAGTAACATGGAAGAACAAGCTTGTCGGAAGTTTGTCAACTTTTAAACTTTCTGGTCTGCACACGTGTCACCGTAGCCATGCGTGTCGGCAATTTTTTTTTTTAATTTCAATATAAAATGACGTCTCCAAACCGCCAAACTCACTGGTTTGATTGGAATCCTGCTGCTGCATAATTTTAAAGTGTTTTAAAGATGGGGTTACAATCAAGTATAAGCATTATGTGGCCTCTCTGTGTTCCCCATATATTTTGCACTAAATTTAGTCGGGCACCATATGCAGACGGTGTTGTAATTTTGTAATTGTGCGTCAGGAAGCCAGACTGAGGGAACAGTGGTCGTGTATCTGGAACCTGTAAATGCTTTTCAATAAAGGCGCAATATGCAAGGGAGCAGACTAATAACCAGCCTGGCAGCTCATGCACGATGTCGCTGTACGGTCTGACGTCAGTTAACGTTTTCTCTGATACTTGACTATCCCAAAGAATGTTCCTGTTGATCGAAATCATAAGTTGGTGCAGAATTCTCCAGCCTTATGGCCTTACTGAGGTCACCTCAAGCTCCACCCTGAAGGATATCTTTGAGAGTTTTAAGGGGATCGAAGCATCATCTGCAACGTCAGCCGACATTTGAAGAAAAAAAAATGGGGGGTGGGGGAAAACCAGCATTGCCGCACCACTTTTGGGGCAAGCTTCATAACAGAAACCGGAGCCTTTTTTTTTCTTTTTGGCCTAATATAAAGAAGTATATATGAATGGAAATAACACATGTAGTGTGATGCAGAATTTATAAACATGATGTTTAAAACAGTTTAGGATCCTGGTTGCCGATGGTAGCCTTGGGATCGGGCCATTATTGGCATCCAGGCCCCTAATCAGTTTTAAACCACCTGTCATTCAATTGTCTGTTTCAGTACTTAGCGACATTGTACTCTTAGATGCACTTGCAATGCTGTGGTATATTGTGTACAAACCAATGGGGGTCTTGACCAATATTGACCCAAGTAATGACCAGGCTGACAATGCATGTTTCAATAGGAGGGTTAGTTAATAAGCAGCAAATTTTGCAATTGATCTTCCCCAACTCATTATATGTGGTGTGCAAAAGGATGGCTAATCCGCTCCGTTCACAAGTACCCCCTCACTAGCATAGAAAGTACAGTTGGGGGTGACCGACCGACGCCATCTTGCCTGACTGCAATTTTGCCGCAACGCGCGGCCGTACCACTAAGTGTGCATAGTACAAATCCCCTGGTGTACATGCGTCACACACAAGGAACGGAGCGCATCAACCGGCTAAATGTCCCGCCCATGGGGCGTCATTGCTAGGTAAAAGGCATCTTCTTTCGTTGGCGCATGGAGCCCATTCTGCATGTAATAGCAACTCACTGTGAAAATATTATGACAAAAGTGGGATCAGGTAATCAGGAGAATAGCCAATCAAGAGCCACAGATTTTAACCAGTTGCTAAGAAGGCTTGGACGGGTAACCAGCCAATCAGAGATCTTGATTGTTCTTTGATATTTTGGCAAGGCCTGGCTGTAGTGTAATTTTTAACGTATTTAGTTCAAGGATGAATGACCTCTATGCAACCATGTGGTTGCGAAGGCCTATTGAACAAAATTGAATGGTTTACAGGCTTTTCTGATTTTGGCTGTGAGTTACACAGAGAAACCTCACTGTAACATTTTGATTTGTGTTGATGTTGGAAAAAAGATTGAAACCTGACAAGTAGAATTGCATAAGCTCGCAGTCAGACATTGTTTTTCCTCATAGGCAAGACTGGTTGGGGCATCGCATGGTACGTCAACGGACTCTTAATCCCAGAGATTACTGTCAAGAGGGGTGTCAATTACACCTTTACGGTCTTTGGAGGTGACGACAGTGAGAAGTCGGCCCAGTATCATCCCTTTTACATCACTGATGACAGTGAGGGTGGCTATGCTCAGAAAACATCTCAAGGAAAAGCGGTAAATGGCAATTTATCATTTTGGTGCCAATCGTTGAAGGGGGGGGGGGGGGATTGAGGTCTCACCCGTTTTTCAACTGATATAGTTGAACTTTTGATGCATAATAACTGTTAATTATTGCCATGGTAATTACTCTTGCCTTTGCTATGTGTCTACAAATAGGCTTGTGTTTTTGAATGGATAGAGACTGGAAAATCATTTTACAATACTGCATGTACATGTACATGCATTGTTATTTTTTTTGCTCTCAGGTACGTTTATTCTCTGTCAACCAAAGAACTGTGAGTCAACTAAAGAAGTCTAGAGGTCCAGTGAATCTCTTGGTGGACTGTTTCACCATGGGTACTTCTTTTCACGGTTCACCTGACGAAGCCCACAGGGGGAGGTTGGAGATTTATTTACCCGTCCAGTTCTGGGGCTGCCCTGCTTACCACATCAAAATCATCATGTCGGACTAACTGGAGTGCACATCTGAAGTTTGGAGCTCCAATATTGAACTGAACTTGCATTTAGCCGGCTGGCATATTTTGGTGCATCCTGTGTTCTTGCCCTAAAAGGATATTAATTATTGATATTCAAGAACACAAGGTGAAAAGGGTTCAGATGCACAAAATATGCCAGCTGGGTAAAATGCAGTCAGTGTTCATTTGGATAATGGAGTTCCAAAGTGAAAATCAGATGACCACGCCTACGGCAAGTCCAAAATGATGATTGGGATGTGGTGTGCAGGGCAGCCCCAATACTGGAAGGTATAGTCAATCTCCAGCCTCTACTCACAGGCTCTCAGTACTGATGATCAGAACTAACACCTGGCCTAGTTGTTTCTTTGTCAGGTGAACCGTGACGGGTAAACACATAAGAGATTGGATAGAGCTCTGGAATTCTTTGGTTGACTCATAGAACCTGAGACTGAGAGTACCTGAGAGCAGTAGGCTGAGCAGACGACTCTGTGTTTATCAGACGCAGGAATATGATGATAAAACCAAAAGCAACTTTCACAACCAGATGATCTGAGCAAAACTTTCGGAAATAAAACTTTGCGATCAGTGCACAGTGGCAAGGAAATTTCAAGTTCAAGCGGTTGCATGAGAGTGCTGTTTGCTTTGGCTTTCTGGTAAGTGATGGAAAGCGCAAGGCTACACAAATATTGTTTCTAGGCCCTGCAACTTGCAAAACTGCATATGAAATGACCTGTTGTCAATACCTGCACATGTAAACTAGATTGACAAAAAGGTTTTTTTAATTGTTCTCAACTTTTGCAATATATGAGGTGGAATTCACTTGAATGGCTTTTTTGGAAATGGTTGCTTTGTTAATTTATTGGCTGATATACCAACTAGGGACATTGAGACAATAATTTTAATGGAAGGCTGGGCAGGGATTCGTTTGTTATGTAGGAAAAAATAATACACCAAATAAATTAGATGAATTTTGAATGTCCCAATATTTGATTGTAGTAAAGAAACCTATGTGTTATAAGTTGGCATAATTTTGGAATAGGGTGTTACCAGTGTTGTAGTCGAGCCCTTCATGTCCGAGACCGAAACCGAGACCGTGGCATCTGCTCTTTCGAGAACGAGACCAAGACTTCTGAGACCGAGACTTCCCAGACCAAGACTTCTGAGGCCGGGGTACAATACTTTCAAGACCAAGACTTCCGAGACCAATTCAGCTTGAACAAAAGGAATAAGGCCATACATAGATGGTGCATTTTGTTGTGGTCTTGACGGGTCTTGAGGGTAAAATCCGAGGCTTTGGCATCTGAGACTGAGACTGACACCAGCCCTCCTGAGACGGAGGGCAAGACCGAGACCCAGACTGTGACCGCAAAAAAAAGAAGAAGATCTTGAGACGATCTTGAGACTGAGACAAGGTCTGATTAGACACTGGGTGTTACTGCCCACCACTGTGAGCACCAGAATCAGTTTTGCAAGTTGTACAAACATACTATATTGCATGGCTTAAAACGCAAGGCTGATAATTTGTAGTAATATAGGTTTTTTGTGACATTGTTGCGTATGTTTGGCTGGATGGCCTTTAGAAAGAAAACGAAACAAATTGACTATGTGGCTCATGGATTTAAAAAGAGGTCTATTTGGGTTTCTTACTCAAGTCCTTCCGTTCACCAAACTGTTAAAAAAGAACACAAAAGAGACTTATACATGTATGAATTATTTGCATAAAATGAATATAAAATGATTTTATTTTGGGGTATAAGAGATTTCTGCATTAATTTTTGGTTTACTTTCCGAATTTTATTTTTTTCTCTTCCTCATAATCTCTCCTTAAATCAGAGTGTAACGATCTACGCTGGAGAAACTGGTGAGTAATTTTTATATTTCCTTATTTTGAGGAGAATTTCACATTTTAAATCCTTCACATTTTTTACCTGAGTTTCCATGGATTGGGGTTTGCAACCTTTGAAGCCAAAGAGTCAATATGAACTGAATGCAGTTTGGCAGATTTCTTGTGGCTAAAGATACTAGCAATCATTGATATTCTTCAGAAATACTCTAAATTGAGTGTCCACACTACAAGAAATTTCACAAGTTGGTGTTGGTCTGAAAAAAATCAGTTCTTTACATTATGAGATTGGATCCAATCCCAAGGTTTCCTTCTTGTTGGTGCAGAGGGTCCTTACTGTAGCTGGCAAGAGAGCGAATCAGGAGTCAATGCGGATGACTATAACAGCTTTGACGCCTACAAGATGAAATTGGAGCGTGTTTGTACAGGATCCAGCACCAATGGAGGCAAGCTGTATTGGACCCCGGATGAGAACACACCAGATGTAGTATACTATCAGGTAAGAATGGAGACTTGGTACAAATGTACATGCCAATTCTTAGGCTTCGGAGGAGGTTCGTGGGTTCGTGTTTTGGAGGAGGGAGTGATGGTTGAAATGAGAACTTAACCGATAGTTTTGTTGTGGACTTTTTTGGTCAGTTAACTGTTCTGCATGAGTGATGTTGTGTGAATGGGCATGACATTTGCCTTGGTTAATTCTGTGTATGTTAGTCAAGTTGGTTTTAGCCAAAGGATTTTGCATCATTATGCGAGAGGGGAGTTGGGGACGTAATGTGGCCAATTTGGAGTCACTTTTTTTTGGAAAATCAATTTGGGATTGTACCGAATTCCACCAACTCAGCATAAAAAAAAAATCAATTTTAAAAACAAAAATCAAATCCTTGTATTGGGACCATACTACAGACCTGTTTGGTCTTTGCCTTTGCTTACAGTTTTTTGTGCAAACAGCATGTAAATGATTCCAAGTGGACAAACCCGCCGGTCCACACATTTTATTGGGGGTTTGCCATGCCTTTTGGAAAGATGTTTGGGATACAATAAAATTTTGTGTACTTTTTTTGTGTGTGTATGGGTGCTTTTAAAACCCTTTTTTTTTGGTCACGTATCTCTTTCTGTTTTGTTTCTTAACAAATTGGACCTCTATTTTTCCCATAATTTTTAGGATTTATTATTCGAGAATCAATCATGATTATATGTATTAAGTTAAAAACTATGCCATTGCCATCTTGGAATGGCTGATGATAGCTGCTATACTCAACAATCATTTATGGATCCTATGATGTTCATTATAAGGCCAAAAACAAAAGTCTTCGATGTCTGGTATGGAATTTGACCAAAAAGTGGTGCGGCGATGCGGCTTTTTTTTTTCATCATCAAATGTCGGCTGATGACTGAAAATGGTGCTCGACTAAATTTAGTGCAAAATGTATGGGAGCCCAGAGAGGCCACATAAAGCTTATACTTGATCGTAACCCCATCTAAAAACACGTTAAAATTGTGCAACAGCAGGATTCCAGTCAAACCAGTGAGTTTGGCGGTTTTTGAGACATCATCTTACATGGATAAAAAAATCTTTTTCATTTTGTCGACACGCGTGGTTACGGTGACGGGCGCGCAGACCAAAAACGGGGCCTTTTTTTTGGCCTTAAGGAAATTTTTCTGTACAGAGTGTGCCAGAAAAGTGAAACATCCAGATAACAAATAATTAAAACTGTTTAATAATGTTTTTTCAATGATATTTTATATTAGAGCCTGACTATTTCTCAATCCACTCCTTTTTACCCCATTCCATTTGGGTCCCAAGATCCAAAAATACAATCCATTAGGTGAAAGGGTGTAAAATTTTACTTGGGCAACTCTCACCTGTGATGTCGCCAACAAACGGAATGGAGTAAAAAGGAGTGGATTGAGAAATAGTCAGGCATTATTGTATTATAATTTCATTGGAGAGAGCATTCAACAGTTTTAATGATTTGTTTTCTGAATGTTGGACTTTTTTGGCACACTCTGTAGTAGATGGAGCTTTGTAAACACTCCTGAGATCTCTGTACAGGAAGAACACCCCGTGTTCACACTGGTTTCACTTGTATATGGCCTGATAACGCACACAAGTAACCAGTGCAGGGGGTACTTGTGCACAAAGTCAGTACCCGCATAGCAGTCTAATGATGACTTTGGATTATGTTACTCTTGTTGTTTTGTCATGTTTTGCAGTGCTACACCCATCGTTTCCTTGGTTGGAAGATCAACGTCAGCTCAGCCAGCGGACTTGAGATTTCCCTGACCCTTCTCCTGGCTATGCTGGGCTTTGTCACTCTCTTCTAAATCACAAGAGGTCACTGGGATCAGTCATTCCAGTTGATCAATAAGCCAGTTTGGGGTTCCAACTTCATATGCACAGATCACAATTTTCTGCAAGGGATGGATGATTTTTTTAAATAGAAAAAATAATAAACTATAGCAACAAATTGAAGAAAGCCTCTATTTCTGACACATTCCAAAAACTTTGGGCTACACGTGCCATGTATAGTGTAATTTGTATACTCTAACTTTTCTGAAAGCGTTATTGTGATTTGAAAATTGTAATGTGAAAAGTGTGCAGTTGGAACACAAAAATGGCTTATAAGCACCATTTACGCAGGTTCGAAGTGGCTTTTTAATTTTAATTTGTTTTTAACAATGATAATCAATGACATTTGTAAATCTTGAAGTATGATTGCTAATAAGTAGAAAAAAGATAAATCAGGTATTAACTATCTTTAATAAACATACTTGTGCCTGTCAGCGTTTGTTTATGGTGTAAATCGAGGACACACACGTGCAACATAATGGATGAATTGAGGACAGGAACCAAATCGAGGACGACCTCGATTAGAAAACGTGTACAAAACCAATGAGAGCTGTTGCAAAAAAGTTAAAGTATAAATAAAGGAAAAAGGAAGAGGAACAATAGAAAATCCTTGATTTTCGCCATAAACATACACTCTTGTTTTACTATACTGTCGAGAACAATGCTTTGTGTTTCCCTTTGTCCCTGTAATATAACACTCTCCCATAGACTAAGCACACGAACCTACTACAGAGGACCGTTTCCAACAAAAGACACAACTCCTGAGGACTGAAAGGATATATGTAGAACACATACAAATGTGCTGGGATGGGTTTGTGTGTGCTTGTTAAATAAGAAAGTATGAGGTCATACTTTTTTTGTGTGAGTGTTATATATGTGCAGTTTTTGTACCAGAAATTAAACCCATTATTTTGTAGCAAACAGTGTTTTCAATTTCATCTTGATGGTTCCCCTCCGGAAAAGAAAGTATCCCAATGAATTTGCTGTGGCTGGCAAATAAAAAATGCCCATGGATGCAGCTGCAGCCACTACCTATAGACACTTGCGGTACTGCCAACCACAGCAGAGTAAGTTGAACACACCCTTATTAGCTTTGTCTGGATCCCAGAGGGTCTTGTGTAGATGAGTACAATTACATATGATATTCTGTGGGTACCACCCTTCCCTTTATTTGTTATAACAATGACTTGGAGGTGTTTATTCAGATTTATAATACATTTAAGTAGTGTAGACTTTTTTTAAAAGTGTGAAATATTGAAGCTAAAGTTTGAAAGTAAAAACGTTTTGTATCAAGTCTTCATTTTTGTTAACAAGGCTATACCTTGTCCGCTTTGCAGCAAGGTGGTTTTGCCTAGATTTTGTTAAATGTTCTACTTCATTTTGCCACAGATAACCCTAACCCAAAAGTGCTTTATCTAACACTGTTTTTCAGAAAGTGGAAAACATGTGGACCTGTGCAAGTCCACATAACGTCTGAAGTTCCTGCATTGTGTGGACTTGTATTGTTCTCAGGTCCAAACAGTTACTGCAATGCCTGCGCACACATACAGCAGTGATGTGTACTCAACCCACACATGCAATTTCAATATTTGTACAGATCAGTCATGTGTACATTTCTTTCAAGTATATAGTTTTTTATCAAGACTAGAATCACATATTTTTGTACAAGTTTTTATAAACATGTGTCTCCACTCTGCATCAAGTGAATGTTGGGGGAAAGTCTGAAATACAAACCAACCATTTTGAATCCTGATATACATGTATGGAATCACGAACGTTGGCCTTTCTACCTGCTGTGAAGTATTTGTCTTGATAGATTGCATTCCCTTTGAAGTATAATATAATTGCCCTGCGTGTGATATTCTCTATTTATAAATCACCTTTTTGTTTTAATTATTAGTGACCATTTTGACAAAAATATCTTGTGTTTAGTACGCTGGCTTTCTTGATGGGTATTGTATATTTATTTTTTGACTGGAATGGTGTCTGGTGATGCAAAATTACGTAAATGTGAACATCAGTGCAAAATCCAATAGCAGTTAACAAATTGACATTCCATTTAAAGGGAATGTACAACATTTGCTTTCGCTGGAATTTTCAGAAACAAATGGATTTGGAGGATTAGTATGTTAGAGAAAATATTGTTAAACTGACTTGTTTCACGTTTTGGGCTTGTAGATGCTGGAAAACCAAGAAAACCTATTTTTCTTGTAGTCTGGTTCCCTGACCCCACTTAAGATGAAACGGAGCAATTAATTCACTTTGGGGAATTGTAAGGTCAGACAATCAGTCTAGTAGGCGTGTACCCATTCATAGGTGTTTAATCAATTGCAAAGAAAAGTCAGAATAACTAAATATGAAAAATTAGGAACAGTTGTTGGGAAAACAGCCAGTTTTCTCCAACGCTGGTCGGCTGACCAGCGTTGGAAAAATACAGTTTTTCTTCAAAATGTCAGCACACCAGGAGCCACGATTTTAAAGGATGCTTTAGAATGTCAGTCCCTAACAATTCAGTAGTTATTTCGTGATAATTTGATCATTTCGTTTTTTGATGTTTTCAAATGTTGTATCTTCCCCTTAACGTTTTCGTGTTTTTAAATACCTTTGATACCTATAGATTAATATGTGCAAATATGTACACATTGTTAGTTTTGATACATGAGAAATCTATATTTTCTACTTACCGGTACTTGTAAAAATCGACTGTTGGTTTTTTTTTATTATTAAGATGTTGTAACTTTTCAGGACATGTTTATCAGTACTATCAAAATAGTTTAAGGTGGAAGTTTAGTTTTCATTTTTGTTTTTTTGGCAAATGCCAGGAGACTGTGCTACCAGAGAGGTGGTGCATTCTGGTGGCTTTTATGTAGTCGTGATGTAACACTGTTTATATAGCTGTCGCTTGAAGTTCACAAATAAACCGATACTTTGTTTTACTTCGGCAAAGAGTTGTTTGCCTGGAATATTGTGGAAACAAATATGAATAGGCCTACTGAGAATTGACAAACCAGCTGAAAAAGTAGGTTTTTAAAACGGACAGATCTTGCTTTCTCATTTATGGGATACGTGTATGATGCAATGCACGTGTCAATTCTGCGAGTAGTAACTATTGAAATAGCAAAAAAAAACTCTTGCCCCCCAAAGTAATGTATTTATTACACGAATGCATTATTATTATTTTTTTTTATTTATGCATGTCCTCTATATAAAAATCAGTGCAGATAAAAACCAAAGATATTTTCAATACATCATGCCGTCCATGATGTCAGTCTTTTGAGACAGGGCGCAGCTATTTATCAGCCCCATGGCATTTTTTTCTCCTTACCATTACCACATAATAGAAACTACATGTATATAGAGAATTACTGCAGAGGACGCTATACATAATGAAGGTACGATATTTAATAGAGTGTTGTTAAAAAAAATCACAGCTTTGCGAGTTATGCGGTAGTCTGGTGGTTACTGCATTATCGGTCTGCCCATCTGCACCCGGTGTCATAGTGGACCGGCGAAAGAGAAATAGTACACTTTGGATGGCATTTTGTGGTACTAGCTGGCATCCATGCTAGATCAATTCTTTGAACCATAACAAACAAGATGTGGGTGGATGCCATCGTTAATTTGGACCCTAAATATACCTAATTTGCATACATTGTTAATCCCTGCCGCCTAATATATTTATTCCCATATTTGGGTATATTCCGTATTTTTTGAAAAGTTTATTTTAGTGATTCTACTAACACACCCTTACTTAAATAACATTGAATAATTATGAGGACATAGCAACGATCCAAAATGGCTACTAATATACCCAAAAAATGCGCGCATTTACCTTGTCTCCAGATATTATCAAGTAGTCTTGCCAACCTCAGTATTGATGAGCATTAAATTCATCATGTTGCTTATTTGCACAGTTGCCCTATTAAAACTTTATGGAAAATTCATGTGAACAATGATACCATTATGATATTTCGCTCAGCAAACACAAACGGGAAAACGAGCTGGCTGCTTAAATTGGGCTTAAATTAGGCGAAGGGTCGTCAAACGTGGGAGACTTGAATAAGTTCAAGGAACCCCCCCCCCAAAAAAAAACCCCAATGTTTCCAGTAATTATGACAGTGTCAGTATGTTTTCTTTCCATTAAATTTCTTTCCAATAATTTTGGGAATTTCCTTAAACTTTTTCAAGTCTCCCACGTTAGGCAACCATTCAATACTAATTAGGCCAATTAACAGACACCTCGTTTCCCCCGTTTCTGTTTGCTGGGCTAAATATCACAACGTTATCATTGTTCGCATGCTTTTCAATGAGGTTTTAATAGGGTAACTGTGCCAGTATGCAACTTGGTGAATTTGAAGCTCATCAATACTGAGGTTTGGCAAGACTACTTGAAGATTTCTGGAGACAAGGTAAATGCGCGAAACTTTGGGGTGCAAGAGTAGCCATTTTGGATCGTTACTATGTCCTCAGTATATGCTTTAGAAAATGTTATTGAAGTAAGGATGTGTAAGTAGAATCACCAAAATAAAATTTTCAAAAATTAAAAAGTAAGAAATATACCCAAATGTGGGGAACAGATATATTACACGGCAGGGATTAATGATTTATGCAAATTAGGTACATTTAGGGTCCAAATTAACGAGGGCATCCAACCACATCTTGTTTGTTATGGTTCAAAGAATTGATCTGGCATGGATGCCAGCTATTACCCAGAAATGCCGGGAAATTATTATCTAGAGAACTTTTCCACATTTGGCTGGCCTAGTACTGGGCGATTTACATTTTTGACCATTAACATTCCAATCCTCGGGAATGTCCATAGCTACAGCACTGTGACCGCAAGCCCGGACCATTCATTGCGTGAGAGCAAGCGGTCTTTGAACACGATGATCGTCGCCGCCTTTTTAGTTGGTAACCAACAACCTCCCTATACGCTGTATAGACCTTTCTGCGCTTGGTTGGCAAACTGCATTTTTGCCAATCACGGCCTGCAAAACTATGGAAGGTCCAACAATGCAAAAATGAAGAAGAGTTATTACAGATCACCAAAATATTATTTGATACTTGAAAATACAACATTTTCAACAAAGCCACAAAATAATTCCTACATATATGCCTTTTTACTATGTGTTGGTGGCGTTATGAGGACTTTTTTTGGAAAAATATGTTGCCCAACCACGGCTTCAATTTATGCGCTTACGGCAGCCCATACAAAATGGCGCCAATGTTTACAAACAAAAGAAAGGCCTATAATAAGTCCACGTGTTTTTATTCCCCATGATAAGTCATCTCACGTCGTTACTCTTTTTTGAAAAAAGAACTATTTACGGTAAGATAGGTTTTAACAAATGACTTTGTTAGATGTGAG